GTGGCAGAAGGTAAGGCTAATAACATAGGCAGAGGCTAGGGCCTCATCACAAACATATATTGAACAGAAAGTATGACACCATATTATGTTTTATGTAATATGTATATTTTTCACTTTTGACTTCTGAAATCCTCAGTCGTGACTTAATTATAACCTAACCCTTTAAGTTACTGATTAATTGGTTTATTTTCACAAAGTATTTAATATTATAGATTTCAGTAATCACTGTTGCTTGTTACTGATTTACTCATTCTTTTGTGTTTTAAAAAATGTTTGAAAATACCAGATGTTTTATTGGAATAACATTGAATTTATAAGATGGTTTTCCACTATTGGGCTTTCCCATTAATATAAACTTACTCATTTATTTAGGTCTACTTTTACATCATTCAATAAAGTTTTATAATTTTCATCACAAATGTACTGATTGAACAACACATTTACCAGGTAACCCAGCAATCCTACTCCTAGGTATTTGCCCTAGAGAATAAAAACTTATGTTCACACAAAAACCTGTACAAGAATACTTATAGCACTTCTATTCATAATTGAAAAAATTGTAGACTAGATACCCTTCAGTAAGTGAATGGATAAGAAAACTATGGTACATTCCTGCAATGGACTATTACTCAGCAATAAAAAGAAGGAATTACTGATACATTCAGTGACACAGATAAATCTCAAAATCTCAAAGGCATTATGATAAGTGAATAACAACAGTCTCCAAAAACTATACATTGTATGTTTCCATTTATATGGCATTGTGGAAAAGGCAAAACTATAGCAGTAGGGACCAGATTAATGGTTGCCAGGGGTTAGGAGAGGGATAAGGTTGTGACTACAAAGAAGCATCACAAGGGAGTCCTTTGGTGAATTATATTCAGCACAGTTTTAGTCTAAGTGAATTTTATCATAGTCTACTCTTATGAATATTACCATAAAATGTAGCATATGTGATGAAAGAAAATGCGTGTGTGTATGAGATGTAGAAATAGTTTCCATGATGTTATATGTAATCCAAAATAATCATCACATTTGATTTTATCTTTGATAATACAGATACATTACATATTTACATTTTACATATTTATGATCCCGCATTATACTAGACTTAATATAATGCCAAGTTTAGTCTTAATTTCCCAAGTCTACTCTGGCTGCATGCTGCAGTGTAGGGGGCAGGGGAGATGTGAGTTTGGAGTGGTGTTGAAGGCAGTGACCAGGACATTTCAAGCTCCAAGTCATGATAATGCATGTTCCTGTCTCTGATTTCCATAGACACCCCATCACAGCGAGTACAGTTTATTCTTGGAACTGAGGATGATGATGAGGAGCACATTCCTCATGACCTTTTTACGGAACTGGATGAGATTTGCTGGCGTGAAGGTGAGGATGCTGAATGGCGAGAAACAGCCAGGTGAGGATTTTTTTTGTTGAAGGATGAAGGTATACTAAAGAATTTTCATGCTATTAGAAAGAGAGATATCTAATGCCAGAATTTTGCAAACATCCATCAGTGCTACTGGTTTCTGAAATTGCTCATCTGGCCTGGGCATATCCTATAATGGGATATGGGTCAGAATAAAACCTGAAGGCTGTAATTATAGTAAACAGTGGTGCAGAACCAGCAGCAGCCGCAGTCTTAAACAGTAGCATAATTTGCGTGTCATCAGGAAAAGACTAGATATCTAACAGTAATTTATTTCTATCTTTTCAACTGCTAGGTTGTGCCCCAACTGGTGATATTATATGGGACTTTTTAAAAGAAAGGGCAAACATTATAAGAGACTTTAGTTGGAGTCCTGAATTTATTTACTATTTGTTGAGGGTAAAAATATTTTGTAATGTGTTTCTAGGATATATATACATTTAAACATAGTGGTTTTTAAAAATAATTTTTAAGAAATTACTTTTTCTGTCATTTGTAATTAATATTTCCATATTGCCATGTAATTGATGAATTGCTGTCATCCTTTCTTGCTTATTTACTCATTTATTTAACAAACATTTATGGTCTATTGTGTGCCAGGTGCAATGGATATAGAATAACAACAACAAAAGTCTTAGGGAGTTCCCTGGCAGTCCAGTGGTTAGGACTGTGCTTTCACTGTCGAGAGCCTGAGTTCAATCCCTGGTTGAGGAAGTAAGATCCCACAAGCCACACCAAAAACAAGAAAAAAAGAAAAAGACAAAAACACCTTAGATCTTGCTTTTAACAACCTCACCTCTAATGAGGGATCTAGATAAGTAAACAAAGTTGTAAATACTGTATAATGAATGCTGTGATACAGGTGTGCACTAGGAACTGCGGGCACGCCTAGGGTTGTCTTTTACCTGCTGCTTCCGAAATTTTAATGTGAATACATATCACCAGGGATCTTGTTGAAATGTAGATTCAGTAGACCTTAGGAATAGAGTCTCAAGTCTTGCATTTAATCATTGCCTTAACTCTAGCCAGAGGTAGTGTGGAATTAAATGTTCAATCATGATAATATAAATAATACTGGCTTGGTTAATTCTTGTTTGATATAATTTAAGTGGTCTTTGTAGCTCTCTTTTATTTAAAATATACTGAAAGTAAATAGAAGAAGATAAAAATGGCTTTCACCTAGTTCATCTCTGTTAACATTAAAAAAATTAACTGCTGATATTTAAAATTCAAAAATCATAGAAAGGTAAAAAAGCAAGAACATTGCTCTACTCTTGTTCATAGTACTTCTCCTCAAAGGTAATCACTATTAATTGCTTCTTGTACATCTTTTCATAAAAATTTTAATGCCTAGATCTGCATGTAAATGTATACCCTTTTCATATTTACATAAGAGGTATATACTGCGTTCATGCCTTGCTTTTTTCATTTAATACATTTGGATCATTTTCCATATTATCAATACAGATTACTCAATCTTTTTAATCTCTTTAATGACTGCATCACATTTAGTTATGGATGAACTTTCATTTATTTAGCCACTCTTGATAGGGATTTAGATTGCTTTGGGTTTTTTTTGCTGTAAACATTGCTGCAATAATCATTTACACATATATTTTGGGATTATTCATGTAGGTATTCATGTAGGGTGAATTTTTAGCAGTGGAATTTATGTGTCAAAGGGAGCAAACTTTTTTTTACTTTTATAGATATTGCAAAATTGCCTTCATAAAATGTTTTGGTAATTTATACTTCCCTCAACAATGTATGAGAATGCTTATTTCCCCCAAACCTTTGCCACACAAAATCATCAAACTTGTAGAAATTTTGGCTAATTTTGTAGATGCAAAATAAATCTCAGTGTTTTAATTTGTATTTCTCTAATTATTAGTGAGATTGATCATTTTTTCATATGTTTTTATTTTTTTTCTCAGAACTAACTGTTCATTTCCTTTACCTGTTTTATTTCAAGTCATTCATTTTTTTACTTGTGCTTTTTAATGCCTTAAACTGGTGGTATGTTATTCTGTGAATTACCTTTTTTAATGAAAAAACTAAATAAATTAAATTCTTTCTGATGCTATTATAATATTTTAAATATAGAACTAAATTTGAAACAGTTTTTATATGACCTGGCAAATTTTGAGATTAAGAACCATCTACCTAATTTTTTTCTTCCAACTGCATCAAAAACCAAGTATTATTTTCAAGGATATAATATGTGTGCTCATCTTCTTTGATGACAGAAAAACAATATATGATAATATTCTCCACCAATTAGTGTTATACGTTTTGTTCTTTCATGATTAAAGAGTTGTTGATAAGGAATTTGAAGTGCAAACCTCCCTGTTTAAGGCTAGAGGCACCCGTCTTCAGCTGGTTCTAAGAAACAGGTGTTCCTGGCTGACTTGAAGGAAGGAGATCTGGTGGTTATGATGACTATACAGCTCTGGTTAGAATCTCTTTAATCAATTGCTGAGAAGTACTTTTTGGAAGCATTTCTTTTATATTTCTTTCTTCACTCTCATCCCTCAGAATAGAGCTGAGAAGTAAGATTGGAATATGCGTTTTGACAGGAGTAACTCCCTTATTATTAAAATGGTTGGTGATTTTTTCACCTTCCAGATCAAATGGTGATCTATTCCTTTTAAGCAGTAACTTCCTTGTACTTTCCCACTCTCATCAAGCTAGGAGATAGCAGAGAAATGCTAGCTAGAATCTAACTCTTTTCTTGTCACAATTGTGCAGGTAGAATTTTTTTTTTTTGCGGTACGCGGGCTTCTCACTGTTGTGGCCTCTCCCGTTGCGGAGCACAGGCTCCGGACGCGCAGGCTCAGCGGCCATGGCTCACGGGCCCAACCGCTCCACGGCATGTGGGATCTTCCCAGACCGGGACACGAACCTGCATCCCCTGAATCGGTAGGCGGACTCTCAACCACTGCACCACCAGGGAAGCTCCGAGCAGGTAGAATTTTATCATGCTCTAATGGACTAACTTGAACAACATGTTTATCCTAAGCCATCAAAATATGTTGCTGTTTATTTATAAAGAATGGGAGAGATGACCCGGTTACTTATTAATATTCTCTAATGTTGTTAGATAGGACCTGTGTTCTTAGCCCTGCTTCTGGAACCTTATGCACGGTGCAGGTATTTGAGGTTCAGGAGACATCTGATGAACAATCAAAATAGTAACAGACATTGAAGAGGAGAGTAGATGAACTTTGGCTGAGACACAACACGTCAGGGAAGAACAGAACGTGTTTACTGAGGACTTAGAAATGCAGTAGGGGGCTTCCCTGGTGGAGCAGTGGTTGAGAGTCCGCCTGCCGATGCAGGGGACGCGGGTTCGTGCCCCGGTCTGGGAGGATCCCATATGCCGCGGAGCGGCTGGGCCCGTGAGCCATGGCCGCTGAGCCTGCGCGTCCGGAGCCTGTGCTCCGCAACGGGAGAGGCCACAACAGTGAGAGGCCCGCGTACCGCAAAAAAAAGAAAAAAAGAAATGGAGTAGGTTTTAAAGTGGTGGAAGTAATTTTGTTCTTGATGCCCTAGTTCATCTAACAAAACTAAGTTTAGTTAATTCATGGCTCCATCTGATTTTTCAAATATAATTTAATTCTAATAAATCATAACCATTTGAAGCACTTCTTTCTTTTGATTAGTATTCCAGGGGGATTAATAATTTTCTACCCTAATAGTAGAAATAAAAAGGATATTTTATCAGCACATTGCACCTGCCACATATCACATCTTGAATAATTCATGCCCACTGTTGTTGCCAAGTAAAACTTAAGCAAAGTTTTAGGTTTTGAAGCTAAATTTTTGAATAATAATTATTTAATAAATGTTTGTGAAAACCAGCTGTTCCCTATTAAAAAACCCTAGAGGAAGCCATATGACAGAGCTAATGAAATCAACACAATTACAATGTCCTGCTTATAAATAACATATAATGTTATTAATAGAAAAATACCCAATGATACTACAGCTGTGCAGTTGTGGAGACAACATGCTTGACTCACTGTGGTTGCCCTTTAAAAATGCTTCCCACAAATGAGCTCAGCAGAGGCAAAGAAAGGGATAGCAGTTAGGCCTCTGATACATACATGGTAATGTGGAAAAAGATTATTACATCAAAACAATTTTATTGATGATGTGAAGGTATTTGATATTTAAAATTGGTAAAGGGTCAAGTCATCAGGATTTTTCAGTGCAATGTAAGGTGTGAAAATAATATGAATTAAGAACAGCTAATGTCAATAAACTCTACGTGTGGATACATTTTAATACCCTTTTCCTCTTGAAATAGGTACTTTATGATTACATATGTTAATCTCCAGCCCCCACTCTAACCATGTTCCCCCTTCACCCTCCATATCCTTAACTCTACCCAAAAAGGATGTTTTCTCTTGAGAATTCATGACTTCCCCCAAGACTATCATTTTGGATGATATGGTAACTCCTTTACTCCCTTTTTGGGTAGAATCAGAGAATAAAAATTATTAGAAAAGTTAAACTAAATTAGTGAGAATAAAATAAACAGAAAGAGTTAAATTCTATAGAAATCATCTATCTTTAATTTGCAGAAGAATTTTATTTTGTAGATTTCTAATATGAGTATCGTAGAGGAGATTATCATCAACTTAATCCTCAAAGAATTCAGGAAACACCTATTTTATGTTGTTGCTGCTTAGTAGAAAGAGATTCCAATGTGTTAATTATGGATGAAAACAGACACAGACATACTGAAGGAAATGAAAATAATCTCAACAGAGTTTATATACACCCCTCCCCCCACAGAAAATGTCATGCAGTTGGCCTACAATTTCTTTTTTTTTCATTGTCCGTCACATCTCATTCATGCCTGTGAGACTCTTGTTTGCTTTGGTTTGCTATTCAAACAAATGTCAGCTGAGTTTATTTGAAAACTGGAATAAATTGCAGCACTTTAGGTCATTAACTGCAACCAGGCATTTTGTAACTGACAG